CCAGCTCCACCCGCGGCAGCTGATATCATGAGGATTAGCTGAGCCCAGCTGAGCCCTTCCAAAATTTCTAACCCACAGTATCTTGAGCAAAGTAAATGGCTGTTTTAACCCACTGAGTATTAAGGGAGTTTGTGGTACAATGAATAACTGAAATACCTCCCACATACCAGGTACTGGGAGCTACCTTATTTAATTACCCAGTTTTATTACTACTTTTTAACAAATGAGGAAGCAGGTTCACAGGAGTCACGTAACTTTCCCAAGACAACACAGCCCAGTTGGGAAGCCAGTGGCCCAATCTGATGGCAGCCCCAAGGCTTTTAGCCACCAGCCAGCATTGTCTCTGAGCACACAGAGCTTGCCCACTACTAAGAGAAACTACTAATAGAAGCATAATTCACCAATTGATAACTTACTTCCTTGTGGGGAATTTATTCTTAGAGTGATACTTTTTTTTTTTATTATAAAGTGTTGATCGATCATGGACTTCAATAAAAATGTCTATACCCTACCCATGTAAAAGGGATATCAGACTCAGTAGCTACCTTTTTATTGTCATCCAGAACGGTGTTCATGTTTTCGATCCAAACAGCATCCACTGGCCCATCAAATATAATCCACTTGCGATAATCAGACATGGAAGACGCTTGCTCCCGGAAAGCGTTGGCGAGGACACCGTCTGTCCACTCGTGGCTGACTTGGTCAAAGCACCCGTACAGTTGCCCCATGGTGATAGCCTTGGGGTTGATGATCTTGTACTCCACTGCAAACTCCCCCATCTGGTTGGCTGGGCAAGAAGGTCCAACCCAAGTTACAAAGGCTCTGGTGAGACCAGAGCATTAGACAAGAGATAATTCCATCTCAAAGACCAAGAAACCATCATGAGGAGAAACCATCCCAGGAGAAGCCTTATCAAATCTGTGCCCAGTTTTTTAAAGATGGGACTATCTGGGTAGGCAATGCCTTAGATTGTTAGGTTATTACAACCATTAGTTTCTCACCATGTATTCTTCTGAGGCTCATTTCAAACAGGGCAAATGTGCCCGTCAGATAAAGAAATCTGCCTGGGCCCAAAAGAAGTCTGGCAGTGAGGAGAGAGGTGCCACATTACCAGGCTCTTTATGTGCGTGGCTCTCACAGCCGCCCTGGTATGGGAGGCAACCGATCAACGTGTCTCTCTCACATCCATGTTTCTCTCTCTCTCTCTCTCCCTCTCTCCCCTCCCACCCCTTCCTTCCTCTCTCTGAAAAGCAATGGGAAAAATATTCTTAGGTGAGAGTTAAAAAAAAAAAGATTCTGGAAAATGATGGTTACTTTTCTTCTTTATCTGAAGGGCTAGTTTAGTCCTGAAACCCCTTCATTAGCTGCTCAGCAGGTGCCCATGAAAAATGCAGGCTGCGCAGCATCGGGGCCCCACCGGAACGCCAGGCTGGTGGATGGCACAGCATGTGCACTCAACAACAGAAAATAACCACTTCTACCTGAGCCTTCAAGTAAGGAAAAGCTGGAGTGCCTACGCCATGAATTAAATAAAGAACCATTTCTGCAGAATCCCAAAGCAAAGACATGGGGTAGCCCCCCTTTTGCATTTAGTTTCCCAAACTACATTCACATCTCAAAATTATTAAGGTTTGAAATGCCCAAATTAGTTATGAAGGCCAAGTTAGTCCCCAAAACAAAAACCTCAAAAATCCGGCAGCAACTCGAGTATCCTTTGTTATTAGGGAAAAATGTTAAAATAATCTACTGGAAGGGATAGTGTGAGCACAGCCAGGAAGGTTCTGCTTTCAAAACCACAGGTTTGTGTTTCATAGAAAAGCAAACAAAAACAAAAACGCAAACAAAAAACAAACACACACACAAAATCCCT